CTTCTATCTTTCGTGCGCCTCCTCCTCATTAGGGATTCGCAGAACGGTAGTATTGTTGCTGCTGTTGTCGGACTCAGAGTCTGAGGCGCTACCTGTCTTTGAAGTTTGGGTCGAGCGTACGCTTCTCCTGAGTTCCTCAGCCTCTTCGTCTATCTTCTTGCCCGAGGGCTGTGTGCTTGTAGCAGTACCTTCGACGGCAGATGTCAAGGCACCCACATCTACGGGAGAGTTTTGCTCACGATCTTTGGATGACGACAGGGTGTGACTCGTAGCTGGATCACAAACACCCGCCGTTACTGGGTTATTTAGGCCCTGCACCGTAACTCTTTCTTCTTTTAAAACTTCCTCCATGTTTGTTTTTTGTTTTAGGGGAATATCCCAGTAGTCAGTTTTTTGTCCCCAAGAAAAAAAAATTCCTGGGACGGGTGATCGCACTGCTCCGCTCTATACCATTTCGCCAATAGGCGCCCTGGTACGAGCAAAAACAGAAATTTTAAATAAGTAATGGAATGGGAACAAAAATGAATTTGTCAAATTATATTGAAATAGGTTTAGATTTGAATATAGTTGCCATCTATATTTTCGGCCGATTTCATGTATTTGATGCATCAAACACGCTGTATATATCAAATATCAATGAAATTCAGAATGTGTAATTGAATTTGGTCTAACGATTTATTTATAAAATTGTATTTAAATCGGTTCAGATTTGGATATAGCTCTCATACATATTTTCGGCCGATTTCACATATTTGGTGCACCAAACGCAATACGTATGCCCGATTCCAATGAAATTCGGCTTGAAAGATTAAATTGGGTATAAAAATAAAATTTGCAAAACTATATTGAAATCGGTAAAGATAAAACGGAACGAATAACCTTTGCCATTTCCAGTTTCTGCTCAGATAATGTCATTAGACCCTATTTAGAGGTCCAACTAAGCCACATAACACATAAAGGTTTAATGGACAGCGGAGCCTCTGTATCATGTCCTGGCAGAAATCGATTGGAGAAAGTTCAACAAATGAATCTCGAAGTATTTGACTTCCGTTCTACCATGGTACAATGATATCAAGGTAGGGCTATGATACCATATGATTTCAATTTTTTTTATTTTCTTGGCTTAATATGTCATCTTTATTCGCTTATGTATGTGTTTTCTTTTCAATAACAAAAAAGATTGTTCAGAAAATATTCAAATTCGGATGTTTTCAAAATGTTTATTTTATCGTACGCATCGACAAAATCTAGAGTTTTTGTAGCGAAATAATCCTTTAGAGAACCTGGTTTTGAAAAGAAGTGTTGGCCTTTCATTCAGTTTTCGCGGTTTTCAATTATTTATTTAAAATAAATGCAACAAGTTGTTTGATTTTTTTATTGTTTTGATACTACTTCTGACATTACAAGCCAAACAGGTAGACCTCTATACTTGCAATTTTTTCAAAGTTGGCCTACCTTCTCTTCATTGTACCATGCGTTCTACTATACGAACAGCAGATGGGCGTGGGCAAAACATTGTCGGGAAAATCAATGGAAACATAACGTGTAACAATAGAACCGAAGTTATGACTTTCTATCTAGTTCTGACTTCTGGGAAAAGTTTGGAATTCAAATATCTTTTAATAATTCAATCATAAATGAAATTAATCTATCCAATAGTGATGACACAAAAATGCATGATTTAATTCATGAACAGCACATACAATTGGAACATGCTAAAATGGAGTTCAAATGCTTTTTCACTTTATAGATACCATCTACAACATTCGTAATTTTTTCTATTGGCTTACTCTTGCTAAGGATGTCCGATGTTTTGTGCAAAACTGTCAACTTTGCAAGGAATGTAAGCATCCCAAACAAACCTTATGACCAACTATGGTCCAGGGAACCATTACCGAGCATCCGTTCCAATGGAAAACAATTCGTAAGCGAAATGTTTGGGGATCCCCTAAAAATTTACGGAATACGACATATGCGTACTGCAATGCATACCCCGCAGTCACGCCAATGAAAGAGTCAACCAATCTATTCTGGCTCCTTAAGAACCTTCTTGAGGGATGACCAACATAGTTGGGACGAAAATATTTCCAAAATAGAATGTGTATTAAGGTCAACCGTCCACGCATCCACAGGTCTGACGCCTTATTAAGCTCTATTCGGTTATAACATGATAACACATGCTGAAGCCTATCAAATCTTGAAGAAACTTGAAGCATTGTGCGATGGAGAGGTACATGTACTTCCAAAATCAGCAAAAATTCAGTTGATTCATAACCGAAAATTACACGAGTCCTATGACAGAAATTTGATTAGTGATAATAAGCGATCTAGGATTATTCGATTTCAAGTAGGGCAAGAAGTGTTTCGAAAGAACTTCATATAGAACTTCATAAAGGCCTCAATGCAAAGCTTTGTAAGCCCTGGCCTAAATGCCGTATTCGAAGGACTGTTGGGAATAATCTGTATGAGGTTGAAAATCTGAACGGTCAACTCATAGGCCCGATACACGGACAGCATTTGAAATATTGAATTCTTATATTTGTTTACCTTACATCAAATCCAAAAAAAAAAAACAAAGACTTTCTTTGCTCTACATGGGTCATTTTATTAATTACAAAACTAATTAAGAAACATAAATTCATCGACTTACTGTCACGGTAATACGCCTTGTTTATTCATATATTTGTTTGATTTTTTTATTGTTTTGATACTACTTCTGACATTACAAGCCAAACAGGTAGACCTCTATACTTGCAATTTTTTCAAAGTTGGCCTACCTTCTCTTCATTGTACCATGCGTTCTACTATACGAACAGCAGATGGGCGTGGGCAAAACATTGTCGGGAAAATCAATGGAAACATAACGTGTAACAATAGAACCGAAGTTATGACTTTCTATCTAGTTCTGACTTCTGGGAAAAGTTTGGAATTCAAATATCTTTTAATAATTCAATCATAAATGAAATTAATCTATCCAATAGTGATGACACAAAAATGCATGATTTAATTCATGAACAGCACATACAATTGGAACATGCTAAAATGGAGTTCAAATGCTTTTTCACTTTATAGATACTGGAGACTCTGAGCCCGGAAAAATGAGATATTATACAGTCTCGCCTTCGGTTCAAAACTTAATGTATGCAGAAATCGACAGAATGCTGTCACTGAATGTCATTGAACCTGCAATTAACGCGGCCTGGAACAACCGAGTGACCCTTGTTATTAAACCCAACAGAAATAGGCTCTGTCTTGATGCCAGGGAACTCAACAAGGTCACTAAAATAGATGCGTACCCACTTCCCAATATCGATGGTCATCTAAGTAGGTTAGGTAACACATCTGATCTGATTACATCTGATTAATGATGGATAAGGTGGTCCCATCCTAACTTAGAGGCAGGGTTTTCGTATATCTGGATGACCTCTTGATAGTGTCATCAGATTTCGAACCGTCATCGATATGATCAGGACTATTGCGAAGAGGTTATCCGAAGCTGGATTCACAATAAATATGCAGAATTCCAAGTTCTGCTATAAAGTATTGAAGTATCTGGAATATATAGTCGGGGATGGAAAAAAAAGTAGAGGCAATTACAAAACTAAATACACCGAGGACTCCTAGGGATGTTCGAAAATTTTTGGGAACCGTTGGTTGGTATCGGAGATTTTTTTCCCGATTTCTCCACTTTGACTGCTCCCATTAAAAAATCATTTAAATTTCAGTTTAGTCCCGAAGCTCTGATAGCTTTTGAGCAACTTAAATCTAGACTAGTGTCAAGCCCTGTGCTAATAAGCCCTAATTTCGATAAGCCATTTTTCGTACAATGTGATGGGTGCAGAGCTTTTTCAAAAAGATTCAGATGGAGGCGAACATCCCATTGAGTATTTTTCGACAAAGTTAAATCCTGCCCAAAAAAAAATTATACACCACTGAAAAGGAGTGCCTTGCAGTTGTGTTGGCCATTGAAAAGTTTCGACAGTACATATAACTGATGGAGTTCTCGGTCATTACAGACCATTCAAGTCTGAAATGGCTGATAAAACATCAGGATCTAAACGGAAGACTTGCTCGATGGAGGCTCAAATTGCAAGGGTACAAATTCACCATTGAGCATCGTAAAGGCACCAAAAATGTTCTTCCAGACATGCTCTCGCGGCTTGATATGGAAGAAATTACTTTAGATTGCCCCAGAATTTATTTTAATGCTGTGGAATTCCAAAGCCCAGAGTATACTTGCATAGTAGATACAAAAATACTGATTTCAATCGCAGCGCTCTTGATGATTGGTGGTGTAGCCAAAACCATCTACAACATTCGTAATTTTTTCTATTGGCTTACTCTTGCTAAGGATGTCCGATGTTTTGTGCAAAACTGTCAACTTTGCAAGGAATGTAAGCATCCCAAACAAACCTTATGACCAACTATGGTCCAGGGAACCATTACCGAGCATCCGTTCCAATGGAAAACAATTCGTAAGCGAAATGTTTGGGGATCCCCTAAAAATTTACGGAATACGACATATGCGTACTGCAATGCATACCCCGCAGTCACGCCAATGAAAGAGTCAACCAATCTATTCTGGCTCCTTAAGAACCTTCTTGAGGGATGACCAACATAGTTGGGACGAAAATATTTCCAAAATAGAATGTGTATTAAGGTCAACCGTCCACGCATCCACAGGTCTGACGCCTTATTAAGCTCTATTCGGTTATAACATGATAACACATGCTGAAGCCTATCAAATCTTGAAGAAACTTGGAGCATTGTGCGATGGAGAGGTACATGTACTTCCAAAATCAGCAAAAATTCAGTTGATTCATAACCGAAAATTACACGAGTCCTATGACAGAAATTTGATTAGTGATAATAAGCGATCTAGGATTATTCGATTTCAAGTAGGGCAAGAAGTGTTTCGAAAGAACTTCATAAAGGCCTCAATGCAAAGCTTTGTAAGCCCTGGCCTAAATGCCGTATTCGAAGGACTGTTGGGAATAATCTGTATGAGGTTGAAAATCTGAACGGTCAACTCATAGGCCCGATACACGGACAGCATTTGAAATATTGAATTCTTATATTTGTTTACCTTACATCAAATCCAAAAAAAAAAAAAAACAAAGACTTTCTTTGCTCTACATGGGTCATTTTATTAATTACAAAACTAATTAAGAAACATAAATTCATCGACTTACTGTCACGGTAATACGCCTTGTTTATTCTTTGGTCTATCGACGAACTAGTCCTCTAATAACATGTAGCAGGAGGCTAAACAAAATTGTCATCAATCACTACACTATGAATAGAAATAAACAAAAATTAATTGTACAAACAATATTTCGTAAACGAGCTATTCTACCTGCATGTTGCCTTTTCCAAGAATATTCTCGACAGCCTTAAGGGCAGCATAGTTCATACGGATTCTAAATCGACATAAAAATTAAACAAAGTTATCTGTTAAAAAATCTAAAACTCTAATTTTTGAACCTTACCTTTATTATACTCCTGATTAACAACCTAATAATGATTTTTTTTATGAATCTAATATTTATGTCGACATCGGCAAATAATATTTTAACTTCAATCTCCTTTTTTCATTCAGGTGTTTACGTTTTTAGATCGAAAAACACATAGCAAAACAAAACAAAAATAAAGAAGTTGACAAATGTTTACAACAACACTTAAGTGTGGCCCTACCATGGCAGAAGAATACAGGTAGATGCATCAACGCTTGGGAGCATTGATATGTCAAAAAAATTTAAATGTTTTTTCAAATATAAATAGATTTTTATATGTTTTCTTATACTACGTCATTCGGAGGCTATTATAATTTGAGTTTTTCAACAATTTTTACAAATTTAAAAAATTTTTCATTCAACATTTTCAATTCCAAAATTGGTTTGACAGTTCATTGTCCCAGCAGCTGCGTCGACGCGTCTACCTATATTCTTCTACCATAGGCCCTACTCAATAAAGACGCACGGCGGCTGTCAAAGGAGTAGAACTCGTCCAATTTTTAATCGGCCGTTTGTCTGTTTTGTTTCTTTGTTTTATCCCAAGCTTCATTTCTCATTTACCTTCAGCATAATATTTGGCTCTGTGACGATCACGTTTAGATCATTCAAAAAAATTTTTAACATTTTTTTTTGAAACTATTGAAATCTAAAAAGTCATTGCCATGTTGCGAAATATAAATTAAAAATAGCGACCATTACACGGACACTAGTGGAACTAAAATTAGACCTTTTCTAGCATTCCTTGTTTTCCCTAACTTCGTTTAGAGTTGTATTTTATGCAACAAATGTGGAGTCTGACCTCGACTCCACAGTTTATTACAAGAGTTTTAATATATTATCCCGAGGTATAGCTGCTATTGAATATTGCTCCAAAAAATAACACACCTTTTGAGCCCAATTCCCAATTCCATTGAAGTAGCTTTTATGTACTCCAAAAGTAAGTACACCAACCTAGCATGTACTTATGATATCATAAAAGGAAAAGGATCCCTGATAGTAACACAGTGGAATGCGTCACCCAAAAATAAAAGAAACAAAGTGGTACACTAATAATATAAAGCATGAAAAATCTTTCTTGTCATATACACTTTAAAACATTATTAAGGTTAAAAGGTTATATAATTCCGTAATAGTAATACGTAATAATAAAAAAAAAAAAATATATATATATATATATATATATATATATAGGGCTGCCCACCGAAACATCAAAATGGGTTCCACGCATCAAATAAACTCGTTTATAGAATGTGATTGCTGTTCTAGAATATAAACATCCCATCTTGCCAGAAATTTTAATTAAACTATACAATACACAGTTCTCGGATAACTTCGACTCTAAAAAAACCAATTATTTCTGGAGTTTATTCTTTTAGAGAAAAAATTCGAGAGTATTAACTTATAATTTTTACCTTGATTTCCTTTAAAATTATTAATTTTAAAGGGGGATATATGTATGTTATGATTATAATTATTTAAATAGTTTAATTAAAATATTGATTTGTGGTGTCAATGATAAGACAAAAATGTTTTAAAATCGTGAAATATTTATCAATTTGTTCATGTAGAATCGTTAATTTATTTTTTTAGACTTTTATGATTTACTATAGTATTCATTCTTATTATAAATGAGTTTTATTTCTGTTTGTCATTCCGTTTGTAACACCTCGAAATATACATTTTAGACCCCACAATGTATGTATATTCTTGATCAAATTAAAATTCTGCGTCGATATTGCGATGCTAGCTTCCGAACGATTGATAACCATTCACTTGAGTGGTGTAACGAATTCGAAAGCCAAAATAATATTTCTGAACCGCAATTTAAAGCATTGAACATAAATCCAAACACTAGAGCTGTCGTATGTTGGAACTGCAGGGATCTAGGCCACACATTTGTTGAATGCGAATCGGCACAACGAACAATCTCTTGTTATCGGTGTGGGTTCGAGAACGTGACTCCTAAATGTCCAAGATGCAAGGAAAACATCTACAAGAGCATGATGAATATGGGACCCTCATGTTCGAATCCCAAAATGCCCCAATGATTTCAAACAGCAGCAAGGATTCTCCTTCTATCAGATTACAAAACCAAAAACGTTCACAACCAATACCTTGACTTACAACAATTATACCATATGAAATTAGATAAGAAAATTATAGTCAAATTAGAGATAACATTTTGAAGGACTTCAATCACAAACCATCTAACAAGATTCTAAAAACACGTTTACGATATAAAAATCGAAAAACTGAACGAATAATCTTTGCCATTTCCAGTCTCTGCTCAGATAATGTCATTAGACCCTATTTAGAGGTCCAACTAAGCCACATAACACATAAAGGGCTAATGGACAGCGGAGCCTCTGTATCATGTCCTGGCAGAAATTGCTTGGAGAAAGTTCAGCAAATAAATCTCGAAGTATTTGACTTCCGTTCTACTATACGAACAGCAGATGGGCGTGGGTAAAACATTGTCGGGAAAATCAATGCAAACATAACGTGTAACAATAGAACCGAAGGTATGACTTTCTATCTACTTCTGACTTCTGGGAAAAGTTTGGAATTCAAATATCTTTTAATAATTCAATCATTAATGAAATTAACCTATCCAATAGTGATGACACAAAAATGCATGATTTAATCCATGAACAGCACATACAATTGGAACATGCTAAAATGGAGTTCAAATGCTTTTTTAAAAAACGGGTTAGGAACAATTTTGCTAGAAGAAAGCTTTATAGATACTGGAGACTCTGAGCCCGGAAAAATGAGATATTATAAAGTCTCGCCTTAGGTTCAAAACTTAATGTATTCAGTAATCGACAGAATGCTGTCACTGAATGTCATTGAACCTGCAACTAACGCGGCCTGGAACAACCGAGTGACCCTTGTTATTAAACCCAACAGAAATAGGCTCTGTCTTGATGCCAAAGAACTAAAAAGGATGCGTATCCACTTCTAAATATCGATGGTCATCTAAGTAGGTTAGGTGACACTTATTACATCTGATGAGTGATGGATAAGGTGGTCTCATTCGAAATTAGAGACAGGGTTTTCGTATATCTGGATGACCTCTTGATAGTGTCATCAGATTTCAAAACCCACATCGAAGAGGTTATCCAAAGCTGGTCTCACATTAAATATGCAGTAGTCGATTTCTCCACTTTGACTGCTCCCATTACCGATACCCTTAAACTATCATCTAAATTTCAGTTTAGACCCGAAGCACTGATAGCTTTTGAACAACTTAAATGTAGACAGTGTCAAGCCCTGTGCTAATAAGCCCAAATTCCGATAAGCCATTTTTCGTACATGTGAATGTAGATGTGGGTGCAGTGCTTTTTCAAAAAGATTCAGATGGAGTTGAACATACCATTGAGTATTTTTCGAAAAAGTTAAATCCTGACCAAAAGACCACCACTGAAAAGGATACGCAGTCCGTATATATATATATATATATATATATATATATATATATATATATATATATATATAAAGAGAAAAGCTAACCATTTAGAACTTATATTATATATATATATATATATATATATATATATATATATATATATATTTTCAATAAGAATTTTCAATTACAAATTTTCAATTATCAAAATACAAAATTCAAGTTTTTTACGCGCGCGATTTTTCTAGAGGCTTTTCTCAAAATTTTCATTCATGAAAACGTGCCCACTATAATTACAAATAAACAAAAGAAAATATGAGTCAATTCGGCCAAGCAGTTCTCAACTGATGTTTTACTATATTTTTTTAAATTGTATGCATATAAATTTAAAGATGTACTATGTGTGGCCATTTCCTCTGACCCCAAACATATACCTAGGATTGGAGGGAGAGTCAATAGTACGTCATATACTAACTATGGAACAAATATCTTCATTATTTTGGCAAATATTAGGATTTTAGGTAAATCGAAAAAATGGGCGTAAAAGTAGGCGTGGTCACTTTTGCTTTGCACGAAAACCAAACTCGGGGTAGGACGAACATTTTAAAAAAATATTCAATCCGTCCAGTCATTCTTAGCTGATCCGATTATCAACGAACAACAATTTATATTAATATATATAGATTACTTGTTGAACCCGGTGTGCTTCGCTACCCCTTTTGATTTTATATTGATTTTGTTATTCGGATTTATTAATGCCAAGGGTGCAGGAAACTGCAATCTTTTGAAGTTGAGTGGTATATTTGTTGCAATTTGAGAAATACTTCCCCGTAAAAATCGTATCCTCAAATAATTTGTCGTGTAGTTGTTTTACTGTTAAATTCTTCTTAATAAAATCATATCCCAATCTTAACCGATTTCAATATAATTTGACATAAATTTACTTTTACACCAAATTCTGTCACACCTCATAGTAATTTCATAGTAATTGGTACGTCAAATACGTGAAATCGGCCGAGAATTCATATATGGGAGCTATATCAAATCTGAACCGATTTCATTATAATTCCACAAATTTATTTTCTGATCAAATCCCGGAAGCTTTATCAATATCTCTGCCGATTTCAATACAATTTGGAAAATTTACTTTTTAACACATTCGTCACTCTTTCCAAATTACATTGGAATGAAATACATATTGGTGTATCAAATAATCGAAATCGGCCGAAAATATACATGGGAGCTACATCCAAATCTTAACCGATTTCAATATAATTTGACAAAGGTATATTCGTTTTAAATTCCGTTACACATTCGAAATTTCATTGAAATTATAGATACATAGCGTGTTTGGTGCATCAAATACCTGAAATCGGCCGAAAATGTATATGGGAGCTATATCCAAATCTGAACAAATTTCAACAAATTTGTTAGACAAATTCCATTACACATCTCAAATTTCATTGAAATGTGGCGTAGACAACGTGTTTAATGTATCAAATACACGAAATCGGCTGAAAATATATATGGGAGCTGATCCAAATCTGAACCGATTTCAATATAATTTGGCAAATTTATTTTCTGGTCAATTCCCGTCACACATTTCAAATTTCATTGGAATCGAACATACATATCGTGTTTGGTGCATCAAATAAACGAAATCGGTCAAAAATATATGGGAGCTATAT